CCAAAAAAAAAAAAAAAAAAGAATTATTCTACCTTATTTGCCTAATGTGTAAGAGATTTCTAATTTCTGAGAGCTATAAATTATAAAATGAGATTTTATGATGATATCAAGGACAAGATTTTGATTCTCTGAAGCTTTATAAACAAAAGTTTGTTCAGTTTCCTCTCAGTGCACCTCTAGATCAGGCTTCTTTCAAAAGGAAAAACTTTAGAAATCATATGTATTAGTAACTGGCTAAAAAAATTTAGTCGATTTCTAAACATTTTGGTGGTAGGAAGCTATTGAAATCACAAGTATTTTCAATGAAAAATTGGTATCCTTTTGATTATTTTGTTTCAGATGATTTTGGAGAAGTTTGTTGAGGAATGCAGATTCCCTCCAGTGCCAGATGCTATTTGTTCCTACCAGAAGTGCCTTGGACTTTCCAAAATCCAAATATATGTCACCGACCCAGACTTTAAGGTAAATAATGAATATATAGTGGGGCATGAACTTGCAAACCAGTGCCTTATAAGGAAAGTGTTGGGCTGTGGAGGTGACCTGCAAAGGCAGGTTACATATTTCCTTTTCTTCTTTAGCTACTGTTTCACATAACTGCTTGCTTCCTTCTTAGGAGCAAAGGAAACAAAGTCAGTTTGTTACCTATGATTTTTCGCAGTTCTAATGTCTTATAGAGTTTGAGTCCAAGAATCTAAAGGCCACTAATTGTGTATTAGCTCATAAAGATTTCGCCGGAAACCAAGCCGGCACTTAGTTGAGTAATTACATTAGTGGTCTGTACAAGAAGATAACAGCTGCTGCTTTCCCTCATCTCTGGTTAGTTTATCAGATGACTTAATGTTTATTACATATTTGATATGTTGTACAAGATAGTGAGGCTGTCAGCTGTGGAAGTGAAGATGTCAGTCAAGTTCTATATCTCTAGAAGTAGGCATTTTGGGGTGCAGAAATACTGTATGCCTCTACAAGGAAGTAGTGTTTAGTTATTTCTGGTGTAGTAACTGTCTTTGTGTTAATATTTGTGCTGTAAGCGAATGGATGTATGTGCATAGACATCTTTAAAATGTGAATTAAATTTTTTTGATACCCCAGGGTTTTATACGAATCAGCTGTTGCCAATACTGTAAAATCGAATTTCATATGAACTGCTGGAAGAAGTTAAAAGCAACAACCTTTAATGATAAAATTGACAAGGTAAGGCATAATGAGATTGTCTGGATTTGTTGGAATGCTTATTGAATGCTGATTTTTTTTCCCCCTAAAAAGCCTTTGCTTAGGAAAAGTCTTAAGTGAATATAAATTCCTGAGCATTCAAAGCATAATTAGAAAGTTTTAAATTACTATTATAATAATAAAGTGGAAAATAAGATATTTTTAATTTCCCTATACTATAAAAGTATAATTGTAGAGGCTTTAATAAACTGCTTAATTAACTTTTGTCTACTGAATGTTATGATCAAAAATAAAAAATGTAGCTGGGAATTTAGCTCAGTGGTTCTGCCACCTGCCTCTCAAGCTCAAGGGTCCTGAGTTCGATCCCCCGTATTAAATAAATAAATAAAGTGTAGATGTGTGGTTTTAAAATACAGGTTTTAAATTGGGTACTAACCATTTTAGCCCTTCAGTGGTCTTTCAATTAATGACCTAAAAAATGTTGTTAGAGAATTTAAAGTCTCAAAATTTTTATTTTCTACCAAAATTTGGTTAATTTGTATACAAAAATCAACTTAAATTTTTTACTGTTCTTTCTCATGGATGGGTTGGGTTGGTAGGGTACTTATTATCAAGATAATGCTTACTAAGGGCCGGGGATTTAGCTCAGTGGTGCCATTGTCTGCCTTGCAAGTGCAAGGTCCCAGGTTCAATCCCTGGTATCAATCAATAAATAAATAAAATAAAGATTACTTAGCCATTAGCTAGAAGAATACTTTGAAAGAAGGTACAATTTTACAGTCATACTTTCATTATAAAATTTATTTCTAAAAAATCTTCTTTTTTAAAAAATTACTTATTTCTGATCCATTTAAACTGTAGCCTTTTTAACAAGGTAGCTGTTTTCTACACAGTATGAACCTGTGTGGACCTAGTGCTATTGGGGAAAAAAGCAGTACCCAATAAGTTTGTAAAGCTATAGTAATTAGTAAGTTTGGTAGAAACAAAATCGAGTTTCTCTAGCTGTAGACTCTCACTGAGTGGTCTTAGCCATTCCTGCGGTTCTGAATACCCTGTGTGAGGTAACCTCCACTAAGATATGCTGTAATACAAATCCCAGTTCTTGTGGCTTAACGTGGAATCTTTGTTTCTTGGTTACATTATGTGTCCTGATTATGCATTTGGCAACCAGAGTTGAGTGGTAGCAGCTCTGTACTAACTGGCCTTATTCTTTGTTTCTGAATCCAAGTTAAAAGAAAGGCCTTTTCCTAGCACATGTTCCTGTGTCAGAGAGAAAAAGTAATGGCCATTCCACGCAGTGTTTCTTAATGCTTTTGCTTAGGCAGGGTCTTTGTCACAGATGGCGAACCTTTTAGAGCTTTTGGTGATAACAAATAGCCCACTGTGGCACACGTACCCTGTGTTCACTACCACCGGCCCATGTCATGGCAGCTTACCCTGCCTTGGCCAGAGCAGGTCGTGTGGTCCTCCCCACCGTCCAGGACGTATTCTTCCTACTGGGAGGCTCTGGAAACCATACAGCAGTGCTCAAGACTTTCCGTGCTTTCCTGAAGGGGTTTTGCGCCATGTTTTGACTGTTCTGGGTGGTTAAAATGGTGCCCATGTATAGACTTCTCCCACATAGATATAACATTCTTCTTTCTTAAATCAAATAGGATTTCCTGCAAGGAGTTTGTCTTACCCCTGACTGTGAAGGTATCATTTCTAAGATTATCATCTTTAGCCGCGGTGGTCATGTTAAATGTGAAGTAAGTATCTAATAAAGGGAAACTTTATTATATTGATAACCAAAGTATTTATGCCTTCCAAACATGATTTAAGTTTGTGGAAGTTGTGTGATTTGGATCTTGTCTTTTTCAGGAAAAGGTGAATTACTTCATTTAAGAAAATATAGGAAGTATTAGGATGTGTATTGCCACATTCTTTTATTCCCAAATAGAAAAAGGAAACTTTGGATTTTGTTTTGTTTTGTTTACATTCTAGTTTTACTGTTTTTACTCATTTTGATCACTTTGTTGTCTTAATCCTCCACGAGCTTTAAGGACCTGGTGGGAGGAGAGGGGAATCCTGAGGGGGGAGAGTCTCCAAGTGAGGCAGAAGAGGGTCCTTGTAATGATGTTTTTAGTTTATCGGGTCTTCTGCTTACTCTTAATTTTTAAAAACTTCTTCCTAAAGTGTGTCTACTCTCTTGTTGCTCTTTTCAGTAAATTATTTTGCTAAAACTTTCTGGGCTTTTGTCTGGGTCAGATCGTCACTGTTCTTTACCAAATTGAGCATTGACCATGTGTGCTTCTGAAATATTTGTTACTTGTGGTTTTGTGCTTTATGTCATGGGAGTATGAGACAAATTTTGGATGTCTTTGTTTTATTTAAAGTTTGAACACAAGGTCATTAAAGAAAAGGTTCCTCCAAGACCTATTCTGAAACAGAAATGTTCTAGGTAAGATTTTTAACAATCAATCAGTGGTTTTATGATGTCTCTTAGGAAATAATTCTGTTGAATGCAGATTTCTAAATTATGCTGTTCTTAAAATTGGCTGTGCACATATACATCCAAATAAGTATTTTAAAAATTATTTTTATGGATATTTAAAACTTTACAGTACTAGCCTATTATGGTTAAATACTAAAAATTCTAATCAGTCATTATTTCATGATTTAATTTATAAATAAAATCATGGCATTTCATGTTACAAAATCACATTGGATTAACAGATTTGGCATAAAAATTACATATTTAGCTCTCAATTGTTTAAACTTTAATTCCAAAAGCATTTTTCCTTTTTATCTCCGTTTAGCAAACACTTTGAACCAATGGCTACTTCTTACCTTGAAATCCTCAATGTACTGTCTAAATTAGTCACCTCTCTGTATCTTTTTGTTCGGATCAAATAATTCCAATCCTTTTTTCTTTTCTTTTTGGTCCTGCTTCTTGTTTTTCATTCTAAAAAGTGATTTTTTTCATTATTTGTGACCAAAAAAAAAAGCAAAAGAAAAGATGAACAGAATTATTTGTTGAAAAGAATTCATTGTAACCAAATTAACCAAATTTCCATCTTGTGGGTCACTATAGGGATATGAAAAGTAATATTCTCTTGTGGTATCTTTCTTTGAGAGTTTGCATATTCTATCTTGCTGAGTAATTTGTACTGTTCCTATTTACCTTATGCAGTAATTTATATACACACAAATAATATCTATATGATCTATACATTGCATTCTTAATTAGAAGTCACTTACCCATTGAGGTTATTGTGTTTATTAAACAAGTATTTCCTTATTTTGACTGAATTGATGGTATACATCAATAGATGTTTACCGTTGAATAGAAAATATAGGCCAGATTCTAACTAAAAAATAATCTGTCAAAAAAAAAAAAGTAATTTGTCTTAACTTACTGGTTGGAGAATGGTTTTTATAACTGGCAAAAAAAAAATTCATTTGAGCTTATAACAAAATAAATTACCACTAATTGTAAAATGTTTATCAGCCTAGAGAAGCTAAAACTGAAAGAAGACAAAAAAATGAAGAGAAAGATCCAAAAACAAGAAGCAAAAAAATTAGCACAAGAAAAAAGGGAAGAGGACTTAAGAGAAAGTAATCCCCCAAAAAATGAACAGCAGAAAGGTATGCAAAAGTCCGCGACATGATGATATGTACTTGCTTTAAGGAACAAATATGAACATTCATATTATAAGGCCTCATATTAATCATTATTGAATTAAAATACAGATTTGAGTTTGTTTGGGTTTTTTGGTTTTTTGAGACAGGGTCTCACTGTGTAGTTCAGATAGGCCTTGAACTCATAAGTACCCCAGGCCAGCCTCAAACTCAGTGGCAGTCCTCCTGCCTCTGCCTTCCAAGTGCTAGAATTACTGGCATGTGCCACCATACCTGGCCTTTGAGTTTGTTTTTCAATACTGTCACTAAAATACAGATTTCACTTAGCATCTTCATACCATCTTCTATTACTCCGAGACATCGAGTGGGTTGGTCTGAAAAGCTCTTTTTTTTTTTTTTTTTTTTTGAGACAGGGTCTCACTATGTAGTTGAGACTGACCTGGAACTCACTATGTCACCCAGGCTGGTCTCAAACTCACAGCAATCCTCCTGCTTCAGCCTCCAGAGTGCTGGGATTACAGGCGTGTGCCACCATGCCCAGTTTGAAAACATCTCTATGTGGTACCCTGGGATTCACACCCTGCCCTGCACAAACTCCAGACAGACTTTGTCCTCTGCTCAGAAGTGTGGTGGGTGTAAGATTTGACCCATGGGGTGTAGATTTGATAGTGAATTGTGAGTTCTGCTCTGCAGCTTTAAGTATCAGAAGAAAGTTGAACTTGGTGGGCGTGGTGGTATATGCCTGTAGTCCTGGCACTGAGGAGGCTGAGGCAGGAGGAACACCACAAGTTTGAGGCCATTGTGGGCTACACCATGAATTCAAGGCCATTTTGAACTACAAAGCAAGACCCTATCTCAAAAATCCCAAAAAAAAAAAAAAAAAAAAAAACAAGAAAAATGTTGAACTATAAATTGACTACTAATTACCTGAAATAATGCTGAGTCCAAACAGCTCAGAAAAGGTCCCGTAGAGATAACCTAATTCAGCCTTTTATTTCCTGTTCAATATGAGGCAGTCTCCTGGATGATCTTACTATTCCTGTGTACGTTGTACACATTGGCTAGTGTGTTTGTTTTCAGTTTAGAGTTGAGGTTTTCTCCATTTTCTACTGTCATGTCTGTATTTACAAAATGAAATATTTTCCACGTTCTCTCTGCTTTTCATAGCATTCCAATAATGTTCCACAAGTCAATCAAAATGATCTTTCCTACTGAACTTTTTTCAGTGAATGTATTTTAATTTTGCATGCTTAAATGCTAAACATTTATTGGATATAGTTTAGTTGGGCTAGAATTGTTGAAAGAAACTTTATTTTAGAGGAAATACATTTTAGATGCTATTACATGAGTGGAGTAGAATGAAGGTGAAGCTCCTCACTTTATGTTGGGCTTAATATGAACTTTCATGCTTTTTCAGAGATATTGTTAAATATTTATATTTCTAATTGAAAGTATCTTGAATTGTCTGTATAAAAAGAAAGAACCCATGAGTTATTTTTGATTATGTGATATTACATTGTATCTGTTTGTATCGTTACAAATGAGTCCTGTTCATCAGTTTGACCTTTCTTATTTGTCCCTAGAAACAGTAAAGAATGCTCAGAGTTGCCCGTTCCTTGATGACAGAATTCTGCAGTGCATAAAGCAGTATTCCGACAAAATTAAATCTGGTGTACTGGACACTTCCAAGCTTCTGAAAGAATTGATTTCTTGGAAGGTTTTGACCACAGAAGACTACGCAATGCTTTTCTCTAACAAAAATTTTCTCACTGAAGCAGTAGACTATGTCATTGGTTACTTGGTTCAAGAAAGTAACAGAGTGAAAACAAGAATATTTCTGCATGTTTTGTGTGAGCTTCAAGAAGTGGAGCCCAAAGTAGCCAGCTGGCTCCAGAAACTTAACAGCTTTGGTACGTCCCTTGCATTTTAGAGTAGTGTGGTGTGGTAAGGATACTTGCTGGCCTCTGAGTCCTCTTCAGTTTCCTGTCTGTTTATTGTTATACTGGCAGTTGACTCCAGGGCCTTCACACTGAGCAACAGGTTGGTTCCCTCCCATCCCTTAAATTTTAAATTGCTCAGTTGCCCAGACTGGGCTCAAACTTAGGATCCTCCTGCCTCAGCTCCCAGACGTCTGGATTACAGGTGTGTGGCACCTTGTCCGACTTCCTTTATGACTTCAGAGTACAATTTTGTATGGTTAAAAATAGTATCCTCCCATAATTTTAGGTTATTTAATAGATAGCTTACAATGTGTGGTTTCAAAAGATGTAAACAAAAGAAAGATTAGTCAGGAAAATCCAGATTTGTCTTGAGCTAAATGATTTGTCGGTGTGTCAGCTCTGAATACTGGACCTCCATGTGTGAGTGGCTCACTCTGCAGTCTGCTTTTCATGGGGCACCTGCTCTATGCAGAGCAGCAGTTGTGTTGAGAAACAAAAATGTTTTGAAATTCAGGTTCTATGAAGAAAATTTTAGAAAGACTTTAATTAATGGGATGAATTGCTTAGGGTCACCAGGCAAATCTGAGTCTGAAGATCAGAGAACCACCTCCTGGGGCGGAACTAGGCCAGTGACTCCTGGGACTGCAGCTGCGTTCTGAGTCCTGAGTCCCAGTGTGGCCAAAGAAGGGGCTTGAGGAGGACACGCTGGGCCGTGCAGCTAGCTCTTCGCTCAGGCCTCACAGTGACTGCCGCAGGGACCCACAGACACAGTGGCTGGCTGTCCCTAGGTGGGGTGCTTCGGGTCCCAACCAGATCACTGTTCTTTGTGGTGACTGGGATAACAGCTGGCCCCTGCAGTACCTCATTGATTCAGATGTCAACTTTTCGTGGAAAACCAACAAGGGCCACAGAAGCAGGATCATGCTGGGCCTGGTGGTGATGCACGCCTGCAATCCCAGCACTCGGGAGGCTGAGCTAGGAGGATCGCTGTGAGTTCAGGCCAGCCTGGGCCGTATAGGGAGTTCAAAGCCAGTCTGAACTCATAGCAACACCTTGTCTCAAAAATAAAAAAGGAAGCAAGATTAGCTGTTCTCAGCAACATTCCTGAAAGTGGAACCTGCCTGGCTCCTGCTGCCAGTTGCCCCACCTGCTGAGGTTTTAGAGAGGAGCAGCTGTTTGAAATTCTGGGTTTCAAAGAGACTGGTTAGTGTCTGTTGGTAGAGACAAAGTCAGATGACAAGTGACTTGGCACAGTCAGCCGAGATACGGCCTTTTGAGCCTGAGTCTCGGTTGGTTTCTAATCCCAAAAATTAGTTGTTATATGATGATTGTCCCTAGTGTCTACCACATGAGCACATTATACACTCTTTCCAGCTTCGGGTTGTTTAGTGGACAGACTCATAACTACAGAAACAGCCTTTTCAGGTTATGCTGTGTGGGTCGCAGTGCCAGCTGCTCTTCACCCAAGTCAGTCTGCTGTTTGAGCCTTGCAGCTCACCAGCAGGAGGATGTGACAGTGTCACGTGATGCAGTGAGCATGTTCAAGGAGGGGCTGTGACCCACATGCCTCCCTGCTGTCCCTGTGGAGCACCATTGTGCTCCACCTGATGGGACAGTCATGCATAGGCCACTAGTTCAGACAGGCTTATTCCATGTTTATTCTGAAGAGTAAAGGTATTGTTTTACTAAGTGGGCACACTAAAATTACTGTAGCCCTGATGTAAAACTCACATGTATTTATTAAAAGTAAAGTGAGCAGTTTCCAATTCCTGAGGTTCTACTTTCTTCTCACAAAACATTTGTACAGTAGAGTTGCATCATCATATGTATATATACATAAATATATTTGTGTGTGTGTGTGCGGTACTGGGAATCGAACTCGGGTCCTTGCGCTTATGAGGCAGGCCACCGAACCGCTGAGCTAAATCTCCAGCCCCATCATATGTATATTTAACCAAGAGTGGCCAGTGTGTATGTTCAGCAAAAGTCAGAAGGAGAAAGAAATAGCAAAGCAAAACTGAGGCTATTGGCATTTCTGTGGTGATGTACTAGGGTGCACACTCTAGTTAGACTGGAGAGAGTTGTGAACATACTTCTCCCTTGTGGTCCTGTAAACCTTGAATTGTGTGAGTATTTTGTGTGGTGACTGATTCTGGTGTTTTAAGGGTGCTTGTTTCTCCTGCAGCATGATCTCTACTGGCTGTCCTGTCTGAAAAAGCAGCAGTCCAGGGTAATTTTGACTGGACAGTTTCTGCTTCATATGTGGATTTAAGAACCTGGGGCCCGTGCAAGAGGTGACCATGAGTCACCAGGCAGAAGTGAACGTATTTTTTTTTTTGCTTTTTGGGGGCTGTGTTAAGAAGGAGTAAGCCTTTACCAACTCTTTTCAGCAGGAATGTGTAAGCTTGCAGCCACCCTGTTTTTTGATTCCGAGAATGGGGAATAAAAGCCAGGGTGGTGACCACCTCAGTTTTTGTAGAGGAGGGTGTGGAACCATAATAGTTTGGGGAATAAGCAGTAGTTTAGTTCTTGGACGTGTAGAGAGGAAAGTTTGCCCATTTTTAAAAAATACATTTGGGGAGATTTTTACATATTGTTGATGTTTTGTTGCTACGAAATATATAGAAAATATTAGAAAATTTTGCTAGTTATTATTTAGAATTAAAGTCATTATGAATTAGTGAAACATAGTGTTATATTTTTTTAAGGAATTTAATGTCATATTCTCATCTCCTAAGTATTATGAAATAGATAACTATAAGGATAGAAGCCTTTGGCCTACCTTTCTCAACTAATAAATAAAAATTTTTGTGACTTGCATATACTGTTAACTGGTATTTCTAAATGCCTAATAGCCCAAATAAGTCTGCTCTCTAGTATTTGTATGTTTTCACTGAAAATGTGAGCAAACGGGAATGAAACCACTTGTGGAGAAGTGGAACTTCACATGATTTTATAGTAACTAATTTTTCCCTTCTTGCAATTCAATTTTTGTTTTTATTACAGGCTTGGACGCCACAGGAACTTTTTTTGCTCGATACGGATCATTTCTTAAGGACCTTGACTTTACCATCATGACTTTCCTCTGGAATGAGAAGTACGGTAATAAACTGGACTCCATAGAAGGAAAGCCACTCGAGTATTTCTGTGAGCCCACGTCACTGAAGGAAGCGCGCTGCTTGATATGGCTGCTGGAAGATCACAGAGAGAAGTTCCCGGCCCTGCACAGCGCTCTGGACGAGTTCTTTGATATCATGGGTATGTGCACCAGGTTGAGACTTAACATTATATCTCATTTTAGGGCAAAAAAAAAAATCTGTGAAGGTTTTTAACATGCCGGCTTATGTAAAGGCTTAATAAAGACGGTTATGAAAATGATTACAGGACAGCCAGTGTATTTGAGGAAGATACTGATGACTGTGGTGACTGTGTGGTGAGGGAGATGATAGCAGGGCTGGGGGTGACAAAGGAAAGACTCAGCTCTGTCTCTCTGAGATACCAGCTACGAAGCAGTAGAGTCCGAGGTAGGCTGTACGTAGGGAGCGGAATTAGGCAGCAGGCGTCGAGGCTTGTGGAGGGAGCTGGAAGGCAGGTGGGGAGCCTGTGTGGGTGGTGGCGTGGGGTCTGGGTTGCTGGAGTAGGCCATGATGGCTAAGGCCTTAGTTTCAAACCTTAGTTTCCTTATCCTTAAAACGAAATGATCTGGAGTCAGAGATCCATTTGATCCCATTTTACTTTAAGATCCTGATGTTCTTAGGTTCTGATTTTATTTTCTTACCCTTCATTATATGTGTACATTCTCCAAGAATCTCTTTCCCCCTCCCTCAGTCTCAGAAGTCTACTTCATCTATTAGTGGGGTTACATTTTATGCTGTTTGTTTTAAAAGATGCATGAATGGGCCTGGCTTTGTGTAGCATTACAGAATCCACATGCATTTTAAGGAACTGAAAAGCTTGGCTTCATTGTGATTCTTAGGAAAGAGCACACGCATAAGCAAATGACTTAGCTTTTTGAGGTACTGCTTCCTGACTGGAGATGGCGCGCTGCTTGATAGCCTGAATTTACGATTTATTGCTGGTGGTAACACAGTGCTGTCCTAGAACTGAGCTTACAGAGCCCAATGCATGCTTGGATCCACAAGACAACTAAAAGGACACAATTTCCTCTCAGTGTGCACTTTTCCTGGTTCTTCTGTTCTGTACCTAAAATACTCAGTATTCCCCTGTTTGGCTCTGACACAAGTTTAATTTAAAAATCAAGAGCAAAATGACTACATGGGAGGCCAACTGCACAGAAGCACACAGTGCAGACAGATGCTACTATGCACACAAGTACGACTCTTTCCTTGTTTTTTTCATGGGGTCAGAAACCACCAAGAAAATTATGAGCTCTCTTAATAGATGTTCAAGTTTAATGGCTCTAGCTCCCAACTTTGCACCAGATATTTTCAATTTTATCTCTTTTCATTTAAAATAAGGAGTATATTTTGGAAACTGAGGTAGGTGGATCATGTGATCTACTGATTGTGTATATCGAAGTACTCAATAACTTCACCAGCGCTGTAAATGGGAGTCCTGGCTTCTCTCCTGAGCTCTGGTTGCATAATCTCCCAGAGGATTTCTATAGACAGCCAGGGCCTTACCTCTCTGTCCCACTTGGTTGGGTCAGGACCTGAGTTATCATCCATGACTGGACCATTGCAGTAGGCTCCAAACTGGCCTCCAAGCCTCTTCTCTCCCTCCTGTACCTCCAGTAGTGACTTCTGTAACCTCTGTCTGACCCTGTAACTGTTCTGTTTGAGAAGTTTGTTTTGACTGCAGGTTAGGTCAGTCCTGCTTTGTCCTGTCATTGCTCGGGCAGTTCTCCCAGTGCTCTCCCTGACCCTTCCTGACCTCTGCACTGCAGACTTTATTACCCTACCATCTTCCTTGCCATTTTATTTTACTGTGGTTCCTGTAACACTGGGTTTCCACTGTTTTCTTTTTGGCAGTAGAACACAGGTTCATGGACTATCTTACGCATCTCTGTGTTCCCACATCTCTGCATAGATGGCACCCAGAAGGCACTGAGATTGTGCTTCGTTGTGTGCTTCTGGGTAGTTGGTTTCCTATTTAGTCATTTTGCCCTTAATTTTTTAAACTACATTTGTATCAGATTCAAATGAGTAGAACATAGTCTGTGCTCATAGCTGCAGGGGTGGCTTTAAGGCTTTAGTATACTGTATGGAAATGTACAGTATTTAGTTTCTTCACAGAATATTCTTTCTTCCTACAGATAGCCGCTGTACTGTATTAAGGAAACAAGACAATGAAGTGCCGGTAAGCTACCTGACTGCTCGAAATCCTGTGTTCTACCTTTCGTTAGCTAAAGGAGGGGCCGGGGCAGTGTTCATTTACACCACTTGTGGTACCAGAGCCAAATGGGGAGCACTTCTAGGTGATATTGTACTGTTGCAGTAGAAGTCCCCAGAGTCTTCCTCCTGGAATCAGAGTACCAAATTAGACAGTTCCCTAAAAGTTTCACTAATCATAAATGTTGATGTTAGAAAGAGCAAAGGAAGAGTTTCCCAGTCATCTCTTAGAACAAAAATGGAAATTATCTGTAATGTTTAAAATGGTAATATTTTACTCTAGAAGGAGAACAAAGAGTCTCTGTTTCCAGTAGCTCCAGAGATGACTTCTCTAGTAGGCTGTGGCTGCCTTTGCTTCTGGCAGGTCAGAAGTTCTCCAGTCGAGGAACATGATGGCACTGTGAGAACAGCATTATGGCAGCTTCCACAGAGGAAGACACTGCTCCCTAGTGTCGGGGTTAGTCATTCATCGCGGAGACGCTTCTGCTCGCACAGATGTTGCCCGGCTCAGGGTGGAGACAGCTGCACACATCTAGGTGGCAGAACACAGCTTCCTATGCTCTCTGCCCTGTGCCGGCCAGATGCAGAAGGTCGAGTTGGCTGAGCACGAGGAATAGCATTACAACACTGCTGCGGTGCACAGCCAGATTTCCTCAGAAGTCTGGTTAATTACCTGGAATGAGATCAAAACGTTGGGGCAGTTTTAGCTGTGTCACGAGACATTGATAACCTTATTCTTTTCTTAATGTAGGTCATGGCGCTTGGGGCTGATACACTATGTGATACTCCCTTTGTTAAACATTTTATGTACTTTTATCTTACCACTTTTTATAACTCACCTGTGGAAATCAATACTGCTTATTTTGATCTTCATAATGATGTTATTTAGGTGCTTATTGATTTTTTTTTCTCTTCGTTTTTTAGATGATTTCTACCAAGGCGAAGAACAAAGGCAAGAAAAAGAGGCAAAAAGATACAAAGGTATGAAATATTTTCTGTATTGATTTTAACCTTATAATATTTTATGTATATATTTTATATACATATGTGAGTAGGTGAGAAATAAACAATTATTCTTGGAATATTTTGAAACATTTAGTAGAGAAAGACTTCTAGTCTTTAAAGGTATTTTGACAGTAATACATTTCAAGGAAATTTAAGTTCAAATTACATATAATTAACTCTAAACAAACAATTGTCATATGTGTTCTCCAGATATGTCTAAGTGAAGACCTGGCCAATAATTTGTAGGGCTTTACATGGGAGGCTGTAGAGCAGGGTATCCAGGGAGGCTTGTAGATCTCGGTGGCCTGGGTTCATCTCTTGCTTCTACTTGACCTGGAGCGAATTGGCTTCCCTGATTCCTGTCTGAGTATCGAGAATAATGACGATACCGCTGTTAACAGCTGATGACATTATTATACTTACGAGGTAGTCATTGCTCCATGATTGTTACTCCTCAACTGAGTCTTATAAGGAGATCAGAAAGCAGAATGTCATCTAAAATAGTCACAAGAAAAATTATGAATTCCCATCATCATAGCAACCTCGGGACTGGCAGGATCCTTTCCTAATGCTCCACTCAACCCCACCAGAGCAGCAGGGCGTAATTTTAAGACTCATGGTTGGTTCTCTGAGCTCTAGTGTCTGTCCTGGGCCAAAAGAGATGAAGCGAGAGAGGGGCCAGGGTTGGGGTGGGAGCTGTTTGGACATCTGCACAGCTTTGCTTTGCGTCTCTGACTATGTCTTCAGGTAAATGGAAGTTAAACTGAGTGACGTGTAAACTTTTGGAGCACTGGAAACTACCCTAAATGTTAATTGGAGCTTGTATCTCTGGATGTTTAACTTGCATTATTCTGTATTCCTGTTTACAAGAAAATTTGGATAGGTTTTAAATGTTGGAAGTTGACACGGTGTCTGTCATCAGTTTTAGTTTTAGTAATTTTCTTTCATAACATTTTAAGGTAAAGATTCAGTGTCCTTTTTTTTGTTTGTTTAAACTAGCTGATGTTAATTGGGTCCGTAACAACTTCACTAACACCAAGTAATGAGACTTCTACTTCAAGTCAAGACTCTAAGTAAGTATAATTTTAAATTTTTGCTTCATTGTAACTGAGAAGTTTTTGCTTAATAAGTCATGTTACTTTAATATACTATAAAATTATTTCCCTAACTTCCCTTTCTAAAGATTTGCATTCATTATGATAACTTGATGTGATCCATGTTGATTGAGTTAGTAGCATATCGTTAAGAACTCACTTCTGTACCAGGCACTGTTCTCAGGGCTTCCCAGGGGTGACTCACTTGACTAACTAGGAGATAGTGTGTCCTGTTATGTCTACAGTGTAGATAAGGAAGCAGGCACAGTGTATGTGAGTACTTACCAAGACCAAAAACTTGTAAATAGATGGCCAGGATTTAAACCATACATCCTGTGTTTTAAGCCCATACTCAAATTACTACAGCTTTTTTTTTTTTGAACTGGGGATCAAACTCAGGACTTTGCACTTGCAAGGCAGGCACGGTTCCACTGAGCTAAACCCCCACCCTCAACTACATCTTTTTAATTTTTTATCTTAAAAAAAATTTTTTTTTATTTTTAATTTTCCTTTTTATTAGTATGTTTGCAATACATAATAATTACATTCATTTTGGGGGAATCAGTACATGTATATATCACACCTTGATCGTTTTTACTTTCCTTCCCCACCACCCTTCCTGCTCTCCCCTTCCTCGGTTTCCCTTTCCATTTCCAAAATGTGACCTCTCTGTTTCCTATCATCTCTCCTTTAGTTTACTCTTTTTTTTTTTGGTACTGGGGATCGAACTCTGGTCCTTGTGCTTGCAAAGCAGGCAGTGGAACCACTGAGCTAAATCCCCATCCCCTATTTTACTCTTTAAATTATTTATGTATTTATGTTTTAAGTTTCTCATAAAGAGAAGCCATAGGATATTTAACCTTCTGTGTCTGATTTATTTCACTTAGCATTATCGTCTCAAGATCCATTCATTTTCCTACAAATGACTCAAAATCATCCTTCTTTATGGCTAAGTAGTATTCCATTGTGTGTGTGTGTGTGTGTGTGTGTGTGTGTGTGTGTGTGTAGGGTTTTTTTTCTTTGTTCATCTGTAGACTGCTTCCATAATTTAGCTATTGTAGATTATGCTGCTGTAAACATGACTATGCTTATGTCACCATAATATGATGACTCCAACTCTTTGGGAAGATACTCAGAGAGATAAAGCTGGGTCAAATGGAATTTCTATTTTTAGTTTTTTTTTTTTTGAGGAATCTCTATAGTGGGTGAGAAATGCAGATGAAAACAACACTGAGATTCCATCTTACTCTAGGAAGAATGGCTATCATCAGGGGCTCAAAAACCAGCAAGCCAGTGAGGTTGTGTGGGGAAAGGAACCCTTCAGTATCATTGGTGGGAATGTAAACTAGTACTCCATCTTTGTTAGGGTCTTAATCTAATACTTTTTTGAAACTCTTTTTATTATTACCTTTTATCTATTTTAATCTCACTTGAGCTTATTAATAGCTTTTTTTTTTTTTGGTACTGGGGATCAAACTTGGGACTTTGTGCTTGCAAGGCAGGCACCAGACCACTGAGCTAAATCCCTAAACCTTTTCATTTGTCTCTTAACCCTTTACTAAATTACAATTCATGCAACATTAATTTTTTTTAAATCTGGATTTTAAAGAAAGTGGGCTCTTGGTAGCAAGACTAAATAGTTAAGTGCTCTCTAGGAATATCAGCTGTGACTATTTCCTGACTGTAACTATGGAAAGATACCTTTTCTGCATTAAGTTTCCTGGTAGTACTTTTTTATAACTTGAAATCAAGTAATATGTTTCCATCATTTTGTTTATTTATATGTAAGCATTTTTCTGGCCTACCCAGAAGCTTATTATTCAAAAATTGTTTCTTAAATTAGCAGACGCAATGGAGACCCCACTGGCCCGTTTGCAGTGCCGGAACACCTTCGGCAGGAAATAGAAGAATTCGAAGCTCTCTACGAGCAGCAGCAGCAGTCTAAAGAGTACGTTGCTTGCAGTAAGAAGCTATGGGCTGCTAGCCCAAAACACAAAAGTGCTGCTCTGTATGAGTAAGTTGGTTGACATTCCTGCAACTGTTTATACTGAGGCCGTCAGTCCTTTAATTTATGTCTCTTACATTCATTAAAGGACTCATTTATTGGCCTACCACTCTGGGAGAAAAATATTTTTAAAACACTTCTTTCTACTAACCAAAATTAATTGAAGATTTTTAATTATTAAATTTAGAGACTAAATGGTTATCATTTCATCAGCTCGAGCTGCTAATATAGATACTTTCTGCTTCTAAAACTCTCCTGCTCTGTCCTGAGAACTGATGAACAAAACTTTCAAACGTGATCTTTTTATATTCATTTGTCAAAGAATAATACCATTATTGAATCACATTTTCCTTGTGCTCATGCCTGCACAAGGCCCTGAGGTCAATCTGCAGCCCTCAAGGGAAGAAAAAAGAAATTGAGGTATCTGCTCTCCAACATAAAATTAATTTAAATCTGACCAGTTGCAGTGATGTGCCTTGTTATCTCTTCAGCACTTGGGAGGAGTTTTAATTCCCACATGGGTAATTTAGTGAAAGCCTGCCTCAAAAGAAACAATAAAACGAGTAGGTTTGCTGCTCAGTAGAGCACTCTGGGGTTTAATGCACCCTAACCCCAAAAAGGAAAGGAAACAAAAAAAATCTATTCTGAAAATCCTTTATCATCCTCAGGAGGGTTGCTTCTTTTTTTTTTTTTTGTGCTTCTTCTGTTTTTCCTAAATTCCGTCATTCTTATTTAGTCTATGTAGTTGCCATAGGACCTTGTTATAGACTTTTTCTTAGAATGCAGTGTGTATAAATCTTATTTCCAAAGAACTTCTGGATGACGGCTACTTACTAGACTGTACTTCTTTTTTCTTTTCTTTTTTTTTTTTTTTTTTTTTTTTTTTTTTTTTTTGGTACCGGAAATTGAACTTGGGTCCTTGCGCTTGCAAGGAAGGCCACCAAACTGCTGAGCTAAATCCCTGGCCCTAGACTGTACTTCTGGACATAGGCTAGAATTTGCTTCTAGCATCCAAAACCAAAGCTACAGTACATAGTTTTCAGTAGCTTTTCTCTTAGAGAACTTATTGCCATTATAAGTGTGAAGGCTAGGTGTGATGGCTCACGCCTGTAGTCCTAGCACTCAGAGGCTGAGGCAGGAGGACTGCCATGAGTTTGAGGCCAGCCTGGGCTACATAGTGAGTTCAAGGCCGGCCTAAGCTACATAGCCAGACCCTGTCTCAAAAAAG